TTACAATCTGCCAGAATGACTCACCTTCAGATTCCTCCAACACCGTTAAAAATGATCAAATACGGAACATATCGGCGTGCGCAGGCCACAGTGCTGAAGCTCGGCGCATTGTTATTATGAACTAGGGCACATGAGGAGGACACGCGCACGCGCAAAAATATACTTGTTTTCAATTACATTTATTGGGCCCACTTACTTTTTCTTTGGCCCACCCACAAATGAGTTTCTACGCTAACGGTGACACATGACAGACTTCTCTAAGCTCCGCAGCCATTACACTTTTCACCTCGCGCACCCCCTAGCGGCAGCTCGCGCACCCCCGGGGGTGCGCGCACCACACTTTGGGAATCCCTGCTGTAGATGATCACAGTCCAGGGAGACAGGTTATTTACACTAATCACAGGTTATGGCATGATGCATGAGCTGCCGCGGTGGTAGTTCCCTAGTAATTGGTCTTTGTCAGATGACGTATCGGGTGCTGTAGCCCGTTGCATGATGGGATAGCTGCGTGTATATACAATGGAAGGCTTGGTTGCTTTGTGTGTTGTGAGCTTGTGAACCTGCATGAAAAGGTACACGCGTGCTGTATGAAGGGCTGCTATGCCGGGTCACACAGCTACAACAAGCAAAAGCTTGATAACGACTTAAGATGCAGAATCTGTGCCTACAATAACTGGATGTTATTCAGTGGTTTTACTTTCCATAGCAGTTGAGCAGGTACGGCTTTTTGACGCCCGTCTCTATTTGGAACATATTTCAGAAAACAGATTTTTAAACTTTATACTGAAACTTTACATTAAACAATGCTGACAAGGTAAGAAAAGGATCTGAACTTTTATTTTTCCTCATCTACAGTCACAGAGTTAACGACGCAGTTCGCCTCTGCTCTGATGTTAGCGGACTTTAGTAGTTTCTCTAGAGCTTAGCAGCTGTCTTCACAAGAAGGCAAAAAAAGTAAAATGTAGGCAGGAGTCGCATTTACCAGATATTTACCACTTTTGCTTATTTTTGGACGGACAAATCTCAAAGCTGTTGGTCGTTCTGACAGACTGGGATTGCCCCGATGCGTGCAGGCATTTTAAACGTCATGCCCAGAGAACATCACGGAGGTAACAAAATCAATGAAGAAAACATTCCCATCAGAATTCAATTTCAATTCAATTCAATTCAATTCAAGTTTATTTATAAAGCACCAAATCACGACAAGAGTCGTCTCAAGGCACTTCACATAATAAACATTCCAATTCACAGTTCATGAAGCCAATCAGAAATAATGTTTCCTATATAAGGAACCCAGCAAATTGCATCAAGTCACTGACTAGTGTCAGTGACCATACAGCAATCCTCATAACAAGCAAGCATGCAGCGACAGTGGAGAGGAAAACTCCCTTTTAACAGGAAGAAACCTCCAGAGAATCCTGGCTCAGTATAAGCAGCCATCCTCCACGACTCACTGGGGATGGAGAAGACAGAGCACACACACACACACACACACACACACACACACACACACACACACACACACACACACACACACACACACACACACACACACACACACACACACACACACACACACACACACACACACACACACACACACACACACACACACACACACACACACACACACAGAACATCCGAGCATTACCTCAGATGATCAGCGCAGCTCGTCGTCAGCGCGCTGAGGAGCTCTGAGAGCAGCTCGGAGCGCGTCTGTGGGTCACAGCCCAGCAGCAGAACCAGAACCAGAACACGGCAGGTGAAATGTTCCTGCTTTAAGTGAAATTGTTCCATTGTAGCATTAATATGTTGCTGGACGCGCGGTCAGGTTGTTTAGACTGAATATTACAGAAAAATGAATGAAAATTAAATGAAAATAAATGATGAATTATTATTATTTGAGAAATTAAAACGACAGGACAAAACGATCATGACCGTTTGTCTAAATGACAACAAACATGTTCAGCATGACCTCTGACTGTAGGTATGGTTTCTGAACCTGCTAACTTGTTTAATTAAGGCCCATCCAAAACTAAAACCTGTTAGTGGATTCATGTTTTTGGACAGCTACTTTTACTTTTACTTGATTACAAATATGTTGAAGTAATGCTTTGCCTACTCTAGTGATATATTTTTGGCAGTAATGAAACGTCAGAGCTCCTTTGGTTTCCTGTGAGGTCGTAGGGATCTACATTGTTGATTGTAGACATTTTCTTAAAATACCGATCCCTAGCCTCCATCACAAGTTTATTCCTGTAAGGGACGCCGTCGTCCTTGTTCTTTTTATCCGTTTGACTCTTGTGTGCCTCTCCAACTGCAGCTGCGGCTTCCACTAGCAACGTGAGTCATACACCTGAAATGGCGCTGGGCTGTGGTTGACATGCAGGTCACGTGTCTGACAAAGACCGATAGGAGCTGATCTCACCGGGAGCAGAC